GTATATGGTAAAAGTCTGGACTTATTTGCAAGTCTGATCATAATAAACCTCAAACACGGAATGCCATGGGCATTTTAATACTGAGAGTAATCGATGAAAACGATTTAATGCGAAATCATATAAATCTTTATTATAGATTGCAGTTGTTTTGGAATCTGCAATATGTCATATGTTATATATTTACTTTTTCATATATGGAAATAATAATCAGTAATTTGTATCTTTCATTCATTATCCAATTTGCCCTATCTGTGCGCGCCCACGAACGCAAAGCTACCATTCTTCAATCTTTCTTGTTGAGCTTTTTGATGACCGGTTATTTGATAGTTCACTCAATATGCCAACTGCCCCGAACTATTGCCGACATTTCCACAGCCTTCTTTTAATCCGAAGGATTCATTTGCATGGCGAGAAGCAGAGCACTTGGTGAAATTGCAGGTCTGACACATATCATTGGCGAGTAGCTGGCAGAGCCAATGTTTGGATTAGCGGAGCTACCTAATGCTCTAGTAATATGCCAGCATTGTTGTATAATAATTCTATTACATAATTAGAATTGCTGTATATCGTAGTCATCATCACCATCATCAGGGAGACACGACTAGTGTTCAATTCAGACCAAGGTCCAAAACAACTGACGGCAATCACTTGCTGGATGAACCATTTTGATTCTTTGTATCTTTTTACCTCCACTTTGTAGGTCTATGCAGTATGCATTAAAATGTACAAAACACATTTTCTTCCATGCTTTTGAGTTAAGCATTATGCTGAGTTTGTTCGTTTTGCCCTGGTCATCCCTACGAGTTCACATGTTCCAGATCGGTGACAGTTTTGTGCGTCTAGTGCGCCACAAGTACTGAAACACCGAGGAGGGCGGCCTGCATTAAAGCTCCTCCTATGTGTCAATAAGAAAATAGGTAGTGAGTGCGGCAGTAAAATCCGGAACTATGACCTCCATCAGTTGTATACTGCAGCAGTGCCAGCTTAAAGTGCGATTTCATAACCTGATAATGAACTCCATAGTTTCTTCAAAACTTTGCAGAAAATTAAATTATTCGACTCGACTATGTGCCTTTAACCACTGGATCAAAAGACCTTCCGTTTTATGACACTTTTACCTCACTATTTATTCAAGGTAGAGAAAATATTTTGTTTGATATCGCACTGTTGTGGTAAACCAGAAGCAACGGCTTCTGCATAATGCTGTGCTGATGT